AATTCTGTGCTTCGATGATAAATAAAAATAATATTTGTAAGCGCTTACTGTTTATCTATATTAAAAGAGGGATCATTGAAATACAGGCATGTGAGATTCCTTATTGTATGTAACATGCTCATGGCAGTGCCCTAAAAACTTTAGATCAGTATTCCTATCTCCATTTTAATTTCTGCTCTGGAGCGTTTGAAGGAAATTGGGCGAAGAAAATCGAACATACTACGTAAATCGCACAAACTGACGGCAATGAGAACAAAACACTTTATTTTAATACTTTGCTGCATTATAATTACAACAATATTTTTCATAATTTTGGGACCGGCTGGTGAACCCAACGATTCTTTGAAAAGTATTGTTACGCATACACATCAGCAGCTAAACAAATTGCAGGTAAGAAAGCTGTTTAATATTTTGCTAAATTTATGATTTTCAAATTGGTAATTAACTTTATTGTACTCAAATTCAAATCTATGTATTCTTTTGAATAAGGACATAAATCTCCAACTTTGTAGAAAGAAACCTTCCAGGATTTTCTTTAAGAAATTGTACAGAAATGTCTACAAGTTCGTTTGAACCCGTTCATACGATTAGCTTCCAAAATTCATAAAGAAATCATTAGAGAATTTGAAAAATATTTCCGATACTTTTAAAGATTTCGTTCAGATTTTGGAAGCTTTGATTTGCAGTGAATGTATGCACATATGAACATATGTACAAATTTTTAACATATAGGCGTTAATATAGAAAGGCCTTAACTCATTTTCTTTTGGAATTCGGCGTAGTACAAAGGTCGGTAGATTACTCATTAACGGCCTAAAAGAATTTAAATACTACTACTATATCAATAATTTAGTTTAAGTGTTTATTAAACCCAGTATTTTGAAGAAATTCTCAACTTCTGAACTTTGGTATTTAATAAAGTTTTGTAGTTACTCTGTAAAGACACACAAATTTTAGATAGGACCTTTCTATATTAAGGTAACGATATGTGTAATGGAAAACGCCTATTTTGACCGGTTTTAGCTATATATTCAGTTTTTTAATATTTTATAAAAGTTTAACCAATTATATATGTAACATAATAAATTGCATATACACTATAGAGCAAAACTGAGATATTTTCAGGGTTAAGTTAATTTCTGTTTTTTTTTTTTTTTTTTTTTAATGTCCATGCTTCAACCTAAACCAAATAAATCAAACTTTCGATTTCTATAAAGAGCTTAGATAAACTCAACAAATTTCCAAGAGTTCACAACGTTTTAAATTGGCGTTGATTTAAAACTTTTTTTGTGATGGCCCTTGCGGATTTTTTCATACAACGAGTGCACTTAATAAAATATATCGTTGATTTTCTTCCGCAAGAACTTCATGCTTATTTGGAAAAAAACCGCCAGAAAAACAAAATTATTAAAAATCCACGCGATTTTTTTAACGGCTTGAAACTTGCACTTCTTCAGACTAAAACCGTTTGAGCTATAACACAGCATACCCAAAAATTTTCTAAATATTAACAGAGTACAAATTGAAAATGCTGGTAAAAGTTTGTTGGTGCTTTCTAAGCTCTGTATAAAAACGTGTAGTTTAATTTTTATGTTCTTAGTTAAAGCTGGAAACATATATAGAAATAACAAAAAAAGTAATTTTGAAAACCTTGCAAATATTTAAGAAAAACCACCTTGTACTCAGTTTTGCACTTTAGTGTAACTGGGCATTTCAAACATTGTATAAATATAAAATTTGAAAAATTCAACTTGCTTTCTCTTAAATTAAATTTTTTTCAGGGTTTGAAATGTGCATTTATATGCAATTTATTATAAATGAGTTCGGCTTTTATAAAACATATGTACAACATTAAATAATGAACAGAAATTTAGCCAAATCTGGTCAAAGTGAGGTGGTTCTATCATGTTTGCCACCATTGTATGTGTATACATATGAAGTAGCTGTTACACATGGCAAGTGCAGGCAGTTTTGAAAAGTCTGTGAAACCCAAGAATTTCCAAAAGTGATGAAAAGTAACTTTCAAAAAGAGTTTTTAATTTCCGTATATCGACTTTCTTATAGTCATTTTCGTCGGTTTACACGGAGATTTAAGAAAATGTCACTTTCATTTTTATGCTTATAACAAAAACAAATTTAGTAAAAGTGCACACAAATGAACCACAAAATGTCTAATGCATTAATATTTAAATATTTCATATCAGGGGGCCAATTCCTGTTCTGTGAAAACGTGAAGTGAAATAACGATTGCTTTTTTAAAAGGAAATAAATGAATTTGTCAAAAAGTTTTCACTGTGAACATTTTTTTCACAAAGTTTTGTGGCTGTGAAAAAGGGAAGTCGGGCGTTTTTCCCAAAACCACCATCTTGTGATAAAGAATCTCATTGTCTTAAACTGGCAATAATTTATTTTGTTTTATTTATTTATTAACGCCAATCGGCTTTACACATACAAAAAGAGAGAAAAGTAATAATTACATGCTAGATGAAAAGGAGAGCCCTTAATGATCGAGAATCGCTTAAAATGATATAACAAAATGATGAAGTGAAGAAATTAAATCTGCACTGACATTGAATTTTTCAATTTCACTTCACAATTTCATAGTACCAGAATTGGCTACCAGGAGAATAAACAAGTTCAACGTATTTTTGTAAGCAAAAATTAAAATTGCTAGTGCAGCACGAGCAAGTTGAAATTATTTCTCGAAAGTGATTTGCGCTTTTTCAGTTCCAGTTACACCTTGCAATTCTTATATCTGATTTCGGAAAATTTGAAAAAAGCTGCTTGTTAGGTATTTCCACGGGAAAGTGGACTTTTGCTTTCGCATTTTGACAGCAAAGCTCCTCGAAAAGCGATTGCATTGCTACGTTTAACCGCACTTTAACACAAGAACCATAAAAATTCAAACAGGATTTGTGAGAAGCAGCGCCTAACTTTTAAACGAATGGAGAAGAATTTACAGGCGGCTTTCAGGAACTAAAATCTAGAAAAAACTTATTAATATAGAAAATTCTTATTTAAAATGGTTTCTTATCCGTTTTTTTTCTTCTAAATAAAATACAGGAAAATCTGCGTGTTGCTGAGAAAAAAAAGCTTCAAATAGACCCGAAATATTTGTCTTTGCTTGGATTCACCGATACGATTTACACGAAACAAGCTAAAGAATTTAATCATTATGAAATTGAAAATCGACCAAAGTCGGAGGGAAAGATTGAAACTATAGAAGTATCTGATCTTCCGCTGCCAAATCGGGGTTCACAGGATTTAAAGGATGTTGGCGATAGTCCTTACAGCCCGAACTCATTTCGGCACAATAGCAGATCGCACATAGCAACACCGCCATACAATGGTACAAAGGTTAATTTCACCATTGTCACATACGTACAGGATGGTCAAGCGCCATCGGCAATCTTACTTGCTCAAAACATCGCTATGAAATTACCGGATGACCATCTGCTCATTTATGACCTTGGATTATCAGAAGATGATTCCCGAGCTCTAATTACTTACTGTAACATCTCTAAATGTTCAGTTATAAGTTATGACTTGTCGCTCTTCCCCTCACATGTATCAGAGCAGCGTATGCACGCTTATCGCCCGATTGTTATAAAAGACGCTTTAACCCGATCCCACAACATTCTATTCGCAGAAAATTATATTCGATTTCGTGGTGGTAGCCATGACTTACAAAAATTACGAAGTAGAGTTATGACCTCAGGTGTCCTGGGTTGGAATACTCCCACTGCGGTATCAACACTCACACATCCCAAAATGTTTGATTACTTTCAAACCGATGCTGATGATTTTATTTTCCTGCGGATGATTGACCTCGACATAGCTTTATTTTCTGGCAGTCCCTTCTTAGAAAAAAATATTATGCTGCCATGGTTAAAGTGTGTTCTGACATTGGAATGTATTGATCCCATAGGTAAGTGGATATGAATATACTAAAAAGTGTGTGATAACCAATGCTGTATCTGTTATGAATATAAGGTTACTAACGCCAATATTCGCACGCCAATGACAAAACTCATCGCATAGCAAATGACGTTAACTGCTGAGCCTAAAAATATGCCGCAAAAAAATTTACTTTTATAATGGTAATAATCATGATTGGCGCTTACACAATTAGAGCGTTCCAGAACGTATACGATTTGCAGGTTTTGCCGGATTTAGTCCAAAGTCGTTCCCGTACGTCGTACGTACGCATTGTCCAAGATTGGGAATCGTGCGATAAGTTAGTAGTAGCTTCGAGCACATAAGTACATACATACATTAACAAAATACAATTAGGGTGAGAAACGCCCATTTTAAGTCCATTTATGCAGTCTTCAAAATTGGTGCGAAATGGTTTCATTAGTCACCGAAAAGCACATTTTTTCGCGGTTTTCGAAATTGCCGTTATATGAAAGTAGGGGACGTGCTGGAACCAGCGACCTAAATGCACCCCAGAAATATTAGTGCTGTTCTTTACATCTTTTGACTATAGACCAGTGCAATTATCAAGAGAACAATTAAAATTTTATTGAAAAAATATAGGTTTTGAGATTAACGATAAGCCAAAGGGCTGCGAGAAATGATATTTGACTTTATCTTTTGCGTTAACGGATTCATTATCTAATAATAAGCGGCAAACCTTTTTTCTGAACCCAGAATTTCTAACAAGAATTGGTCCTTTTCGACTAGTGTGCTGTGTGTCCTCTGGCGGTCGATGCGCGGGCTCTTACAATTAAAATAAAAGTCTAATATTTTGCAGGATTGTTGTTGACTTCAGGATACAATATATATACATATATATATAAATAATATACTATTACCAAACGATTTGAGAAAAATTTGATTTTCGACCCGCCCTAACCTACAGTTTTACGCTGACTCCGAACGGCGGTTTGTATATTTGTGATAAGCTTTTTCAGGGCAGAAATACTCTCGGAGGTTTGCCATTGCCATGGCATTTGATGTTGAGGGGAAGTGGCAAGCTATTTCTGGATACATTTTTGGAATGGCAATGTTAAAACTGCCAAAATTGGAGGATTTAACTAGAAATTTTTAAAACTACTTGCAAAGTACTTTGAGCAAATGTTGGCTTGCTCTCCGAAATTGGGTTACTGGATATTTTTTACTCGGGAGTACGCAGACAAAGCTATTGTTAGGACTTATTGAGCACGTGACAACGACGAAATAATACTTATCTTTAAAGCCAAGGTTTTGAGTGCTGTAGCTAAGCAATTGTTATGCGATGAGTTTTGTTATTGCGGGCCATAAGTCATCTGTGTAATTTGATATAAATTTTGAGTTTTTGGTACCTAGGATATACATATCGTCGTTAAAAGTACACAACCGCGGTTCTGCTAAACCTTGTAACTGACATTTGAGCCTAACAGGTCTATTCTGCACGTTACCGAAGATTTTGTAACCGGAAAATTGTATTACCAAAAAATGTTACCAGTTCTTGTCACCGCGATTCTAGCTACGTTGGTAATGCAGTTAAAATATTCAGCAATTCAGCTATGAAGAATTGGGGCAATAATTTGTTACCACCTTATGAGATGGTAACAAAATTTACCGGTTACAAGAGTACACAGAATTCGAAAAGGTTTTAAAAATTTACAGGAACTTTATTTACTGGTTACAAACTTTCGGTTTTGCGGTTTTGTACTTCAAACGGCGATATTTGCATATGAAGGTACATACATACATATTGCTCATGTACTTCAAAAATGAATTAACTCAATATTTTTTAATATTTGATAATGCACTAATTAATTCACTCTGAAATCAATTTTTGTTTGCTCACCAGTGCAAAGCTTTGCACAACTTGTCAGATTATTTTGGTGAGCATATTTTTTTTTACATTTTGGAAATCAATATTTTCCATTAATAGATTACATTTGGCTCTGCTATTTTCATGTTCGCAGCTGTATAGGCAAATATTTATTTTCCTTTATGATAACACTTTTTAACTTTAATGGTGAACAAACAATGACAAGCAATTAAAATCCACATATTTCTCAACAAGAGCTAATAGTTATGAGTTTTCAATAAATTTTGCTGACAAAAGCGATATTTCAATATTAAATGCGATGCTATAGCGATTTTCATATGTATATCGCTCATTTGGTTCAATAGTGTCATAACTCAAATAAGTAAAAGTTGAGATAAATTGCTTCAAAATTGTTAATTTACATAAGTATGCTCGCATAGTAAAACTGAATACATATGGTAATCGATGCAGCTATGCAATTGCACCACTATTAACTATTTTTTTTATATTTTTTGGATTATGGCACTATTAAAGTAAATCAGCGATATGAGCATATAAATATCTATATATATATATATATATATATATTGCAAAGAGAACTATTAATGAATAGATTGTAACTAACACACTTCTGCAAAGCAGCAACTTGCCATAAACTGATACACCTTAACCAGTGGAGTTATGACGATAAATTTAAACATTCGCCAAACAAGATTAGGAATGTCTGCGTAGATGTTAGTAGATGCGAATAAATGCTCGTTTGGTTTAAGATTATAACCATGATGTCCACTCAACATTAGATGCATATCATAAACAATGTACGCTGCTCGATAAGTCGTGACCGAGAGAAGTGTGTAGGCAATCTGAGTAAAGGAAAATGAGGAGAATATTATTTCGGTGATATAGTGACCAGCAAATGACACCAGAAGAACCAATAAAATAGCGTTCACAACGGTAAATTTATATCGAGTTTGTTCGGAGTAGCCAACTATAGCCAATATTTGCACGATGACTATAAGATGAGGGAATATGGCCTAAAAGTATACACAAGCTTTAGTTTCATTGATAAAAAAAATACATATATTGAAATCTTACAATTTGAGAATGAATCCACGTTGCAAGGACTCCTGCTTCTATGGCCATTAACAATGTAACTATGACAAAAACGATAGCATTCATGGGTGTATATCGCCGCATGTCACTAAAAAAATAAAGTGCTATGAGAATACAAAACACTAGTCCTCGTACGCCTTGAATAACGGGATGTGAAATTGGATTGAAACAGACGATAAATATTTCAATAATCGGCAAAGCAATTATATGTTGTAGCTGTAGGCGAAAATATCAATTATATGTATATATATATTTGTGTACTCTCAAAAATTTAATTACGCCATCTTACTAGCAATGTAATGAAAACTTTTCGGGCGAAAGTCCGCCGCAGAACAGGATCAGGTATTTCGAATTGTTGAACAGTACTATCGATTGCGTACATAGGCAAAGTCTGCTCTGGGCCTCCATATGAACTGGACTCTAACGGTATAGAGCTTCCCTCATTCAAATTTGCTGGAAAATTTATAAATGCATACACATGTACATAAATATATACATACATACATACATACATATGTATGTATATGAATGTATGAATATTTTTTAGAGCAATTAAAATTGCACGGAAATGAAAATACCTCCTTCCTGAACTTCCATCGTGGGTAAATTTGGAATCGTGTTATCAAACATAACATTTGGCACAGTTTTATTTCCATTGTTTGGATTTAAAATTGAGGCATCACTATATTCGTACATTTTATGAGAAACTGTTTGTTCAGTTGTGCCGAATTTCGTATATTTAGATTTTCACTCAAAATGTAATGATGTCCGATCAGGTTTTCAACATCTTCAACCGACGTCCTCTTACAACTATTTGTTTGGTGAATAAACTTCTTTCCCAAGAAAAAGGCACGTAGTCATGTTTCAGACTTGGTGGCGACAAATTCTAATCATGCGCGTACGGTAATAGGGAATCCTACACAGTCATCTCATCACAACTGTTGCAGCATGGGCCTTTTATGGACAGAATTTAAAACATTAGAGTAACACATTTGTTTCTACATACATTTATAATTGATATTGCTCTCGTTTAAAAATTTTTATTTTGCTTTCAAAAAGCAGTAAAAAAAGAGTTGCGTATAATTTTCTAATGCAGAAACTACACAAGAGTTTAGCCCCAAATTTTTACACACTAACATCCATTTTTAAGTTACGGCGGTATTTAATTAAATAAACGATATGCACATATATATTTATTAAATCTATGTATGTACACAAAGTAGTGGAAAAACCATAGAAAAACGAGGTCTTTAGTGTGAAACCAATCAAGCATCGTCGTTTGAAGTAAAAAAACCGCGTATCGAAAACCGTTTTGAAATAATAGAGGTTTTACTCTAACTTTTTCTTCTTCTCTTACGTCTTTTACTTTAGGTTTTACTCTCTCCATGGACTGCACTACTGCAGTAAAATTTGGGCAACCTCACATATGAGGTTTTGCATTATCTTGATACGCGGTTTTGTAGTTTAAACGACGATATACACATGTACATATCCCTAGCTTAGAGTGAAAAGCTGCTAAGTCCACTTTTTATGAAAACTCATATTTTGATATAGGAGGCTAGAGAAATTGAATACGCATCGTTTCGAAAATTATAAACTTGTACTTGTTTTATTTTTTCCTCTTCATAAGCAATCAAAAGGAAAATTTGCTAAGTCCAAAAGAAGCACCACAAATCCGATAAGGCCAAAATAATAGGACATCTTTTAATAAATATCGAATCCTTCTGATTCTTATGGAGTTTTGCTTTGCTTTGAACGCGCAAAATGTTTGAATCAAAGTCTTGCGAAATAGTTAAAGAAAATGGCTATAGGACAATTTTTTCCTCTCCTGTAAAATTTTTAAAATGGGACTTAGCAACTTTTCTTTCCAAGCTAGCGATATGTAAGTATAACATACATTTAATCATATGTATATACATACAGTGGTGGAAAAATAACTAGGGACACGACATTTTAACACATTTTTCCTATTTTTCTTTTGTTTATTTAAATTTATTATTGTTTTTTCATATATCAAATTTGTGCAAAAATTATGAAAAGTCTGCAAAATTGCATCTAAATTTTCTACTTTTTAATCATATTTTTTTAGCAGAATAAAGTGCAATTTAAAGTTCCTAAAAAATTGCGTTGGTTGTTGGTAATTTTTATTCTGAATGTATTACGCACTTTTTTCCATAAAAAAAAAAATTGTCGAACATTTGTATGGAAGAAAATGCGTTAAAAAAATCCAAAAATCAACGCAATTTTTTAGAAACTAAAACTTACAGCTCATTCTACTAAAATTTAATGGGCTATAAAACTGCATACTCAAAAAAATTCTGAATAAAAAGTTGAAAATTTAGATGCAATTTTGTTATAATTTTATAAGAAAATAAAAAATATTAAAATACAGAAGAAAGAAAAGTAGGCAAAATTAAAAAAAATGTCGTGTCCCTATTTATTTTTCCACCATGTATGTTTTGTACGAAGTTCGATTGATTACTCACTAAAAACCATCGCACAGTACGATGATAAAAACCTTTCAGAATTAGAAATTAGCTTCTACATCAGTTTCACGAAAGCAATTTCAGTGAAAAATTATTTTTTGAATTTAATATGAAAACTGATAGAAGGGAAAAAACGCAAATTTCAAGCTGCTAATTGTTCATTTTAGATATTTTTTTTTTGCTGGCGTCTTCCATAAAAAAGAAAAAATTTGTCGAACATTCTTTGTATGAAAACAAGAAACACCTTCAACCAAAAAATTCTCAAAAACCAGCAGAATTTTTAAATTCTGAATAAAAATGTTGAAATTTCGGTGCAAATTTGTTGAATTTTTATATTCTTTGTACAATGTTTTAAATGTGGATTTATGTATGTATATGGTGTTTGTTGTATAACCAGCTAAACCTTTGTTAAAAAAATTACAAACATTAAATAAACAAAGGGAAAATAGACCAAAACTGGTAAAAATATCGGCGGTCCAAAAAAAACACAGAAAAATCAACTTTTTAGAATTTTCTTGCTGTCTCCCGACTTAAGCTGTTATGTATGCCATACACATATATGTTTGTATGTATATGCAAACGCTTAAGCTTCAATTCAAAAAACTAACCATAAACTTGTAAAAAATTAATATTTAAATATAACAAACTTTTTTAGGTGCACAATGGAATGGCTGTAAATACAACAAAAAACCACTGTATCGGTATTCAGGATGCCACGCCTATGACGTATCGGCATTCAATATAGTGTTGGGTCTGACATGGCATTTAGATGCTTCGAAGTACTCGATGCCGATGGAAGGAAACAATATTTTTTACAAAGAAACACTAGAGAAATCTACTAGAATATTGGAAAACAGACGACTGAACAACAGTGAAACTTCGGAGCATCCCTTCACCGAGGATTAGTTACGTTAATATATATCGAACAATTAGAAAGCGAAAAAAATTGTTAAGTACCAAAGTAGAAGATCGAAATTTCGTTTAAATATGGGAAGGTATCTACCTAAACGAGATTTAATAAATTCTTTAAAAATGTACAGTGGTGGCAAAGTAATGGGGACGCGACATTTTAACAGATTTTGCCTATTTTTCTTTTGTTTATATAAAATTTATATTTTTTTCTAAAAGTATAACTCATTATATAACAAAACCCTCATAAATTCATATTTAAAACTTTGTATGGAAGAAAATGCATAAAAAATTGCCAAAAATCAACGCGATTTTTTCTGAAGAAAAAAAAAATCTGAAAATCTGATTAAAAAGTTGAAAATTAAGATGAAATTTTGTAGAATTTTTCACAAGGTCGAAAAATGAATTTATATGCGTTTTCTTAGATAAGGAGCTTTACTTTTATTTAAACAAAATTTTAAATAAGCAAAATAAAATAGGCAAAATTTGTTGAATATCGCGTCCATATTTATTTTTCCATCACTGTGTGTATATTTTCTTTAAAAGTAGAAAACCAATTTGTTACATGACAAGCCATAGAAAAATAAACGATGTAGGATCCTTACTACAAAGGCGTTCCTTATGTGTCTTATATTAATTTGTCCAAAGCTGTGTAGATCAAAAATATTTTGTTCGGCCCAACATCAGCTGTCATTTTGATTTGAAAATTACAAACTTTTAAAAATAATAAAAACTATTACAATCAACACTCAACCAACAATATGCCGAACGGCTGGACAGTAAAAATATAACTCGTCGATGTTTTTGCAAAACCGCCCATCGACCAGTTTTGCAAAACCGCCTAAATCGCCCTTGTGGCAAAAATGAGATTTCGTAACCCTTAATTCCAGGCATATTAAAACAACAGATTTGTGAAATAATAGCTCTGATCCAGTACTCCACGAACTTACAGGTTTTTACACGAACTTGCAGGAAAAATGATCCCGTACTCCGAATCCTTCCAAATAAGAGCGATTTTTGGAGAGTTGTGTAGAGAATGAAATTGCTAGATTTTACCCGAACTTTTCTTCTGGTAAAATCATGAAAAGTGTCAAGCGATCACTGGTTGACGTTTTTGCAGGAAAAATGCTTTTTTTGTTCCCGTACTTTTAGTTGTTACTCACTTTTTACTCTCACTTCAGAGATTAATTTTGCTGTTTGACATTTTTACAGGATTTAACACGAAAAGTATTGGATCAGAGCTATTAGCTAGAGAAAATACCGCCTATCAAGGCAATGCCTTCAAAGAATAAACCGTTTTTTCGCTCTCCTTTAAATTTGAGTGCCGTAAGATAGGCGGTTTTGCAATTGGGCGATGGGCGGTTTTGCAAAAACATCGACGAACTAACAGCCTCATCATGTATCTCGAACGATAGAAGACACACAATGGGCATCACCGTCAAATGTTATTTTCTATTTTTGCCATTCATTTGAGAGATTTTTGGTGTAGTTACTGGGGGAATTAGTGGGCTCTGGAGTGGCGAGTAATGCGCCAACGAACGTTGGGATGATACCGAAAGGGAGTAGCCTCTTGAATTGCGTATCGTTACTGTACGCACAACGAATAGTGCTGGCATGTCAGACCGAAAGCCTTGAAATTCCAAGCGCTGCGCCACTTGGTGCTGCGGCCTTCGACATAGAAGTGATGCGGTCGATGGTTTTTTTCGATCTTCGCCAGCCGTGAATGCCGATATATACATATATCAGATATTGTTATGCACTGCATTGTTCGACACTTTTAGTGCACTCTTCGAAGACAGTGTAGTACACATGTATGTAGATACCTATGTACATATGTACCTATATGAGCCGTCGAACGAATATTTTCCTGAGTCACTATAATAATAATAATATTAATAGATTGGCGCTTACCCAATATCGCACACGATCTTGAAAGGTGGCACAACTCAAAATTACACGTTCGTCAGAAAATGCGAAAAACTATTTCTTATCACATTGCTATCATATTGGCAAGGAAGACTTTACCTTAGGGTTTTTCAACAAATTATAACCAAAATTTGCTCCAGCTTTTGCTGAAAGGTACATAAAAGCTCTAGTGTACATTTTAGGACATACTTTTAAAAATGCCAAATTTTTAGTTACGTCACTTTTGAAGACCGTGGGCAATATGTTAGTGTTTGGCCGAGCTTCTCCTCTGATTTGTGGTGTGCGCCGTGATAATTTCACACAAAGGGGAGGGACCTGCAGTTTTACATCGACTGTGAACGGCGCACAGTGGTCTGAATCCGAAATCTAGGTGAACAAAAGTCGGAAAATTAAAGTCTTTAAATTGTTAACCGAATTCGAAAAAGGAGGGGTTATCCATTCGTCGGAATATTTTTTTTATGTATATTACCGCATACCGTCGGACCACGTTAACCGATTTCTATAATTCTTTTTAAAATAAGCTGTTTTATAAAAATTTACTGAATTCTTCATTTTTCCTTCCGCCATTTTGAATTTTTGAAATCTGACTTTAGATTCGTAAAAAGCCTTTGCACGCCATGTTTTATTACCGACCGTCTTCATGTGCTGAATCCCGCACATGTAGACCGCAAAAACTACCAAGCATACTTTTTCTCGCATACCGAGCGGTTTGCGAGATCTCCAATGCTTTCAACTACCATTTTTATGTTTTACAGGTATTGGAAAATACAGATTTCGCCTGAAAAGGTCGAACCTTTTTTTGGCGACATTTATTAAATGAAAAAATATGATGTCAAATGCCCAGTCAACAAAACTCTATCTCGCTTGCGACAGAAAAAAGCAGAACGCAACGAGATTTTCAAGTGTGTAGACGGCCGGTTAAAACACCTTGATTTCTTCATTTTTGTGTACGCCATATTTTTAAAATCTGACTTCATATTCATAATCAGCGACCTCAAAAACATATAGAAACAAAGTGGTGTCAAATTTTGTCAAAGCGTCTTTGAGCATATAGTTTTGTCTACCAAGACTTGGATTTCAGACCTCTGTGCGGCGATTGTATTTTTACGTGAAACTGTTGCTGATGGCAGAAACACACTCTGAGGCTAAAAATGCCAGCCGAGAGGCGAATGCTATTGGAAAAAACCTTGTTTGTTCGTTTTTTTATTCTTTGATGTTGGGTTAAACCGGGCTTGAACCCAGGCCCTGCGGAATGGTAGCGCGCACTGCTAATCACTACACCACAGTGGGCGCCTATACTCTTCGAGTATTTCCTACATATGTATGTATGTATGTACATATGTATGTATGCGCATAAATGTGCATACGTTGCATGGTACAAATCATACAAGCAAAGAAATTTCATTTTAAGTTTAGTCAATCGTTGGCGGACGCAGAAGCCCTAATTCCAATTAGATATATGGAAATCAAAGATAAGCAGAAGCTACAGATTTACAAACTTTACAGTAGTGTAACTAATCTCTTAAACTAGCCAGATAACAGTCAGTAATAATTAGAATAAAAACATTTCTAGCTAACTTGGAAGAATGACAACAGTGCATACGTTTTTGTGGCTATATCTGACTAGCGTCGCTTTAATATCACGCAGTGCGCTTGCCTATGATCCGAACGATACCAAAATCGCCTCAGTTATTCCTCCCGAAGGATATTTCGAGGCATTTTATCCAAGGGAAATGGATGGCGTTCCGAACAGTGCTTCTCGTCCAGCACATGCTCATGGCAGCTTTTTCAAACATCGCAATCCTGCACTGGTAGATACAAAGAATGCAGCAGCATATGGATATCGATTTGATGGTAAACGCCGTTTTAATCTAAAGTGATTCAAAAATCGCATTGACATTATATTGGAATCAAAAAAAAAAAAAAAACATTCGTAAGGGCATTGAAATTAAAAAAGAAATATTAAAGTAATTTTCCATTTGATAATGCCGTATTGAACGGGCATATGTGCCTCTCATTATCTCGTGACTCATTCACTTAACCACCTTGTAGACTTGTGTCGTTCACGAACTATTTAGTTCCTTGAACTAGTTCATTGAAGTGAATGCGTGACCTAGTTCGAAATTCTAAAGTAGCGGTTAAACGTGGCAAGTGCAAGCCCTTTTTAAAAGTCTGTCAAGCTCAAGAATTTCCAAAAGTGATTGCAGGAGCAGTTGCAGCTTGCATGTAACGCCGCGTTTACCTATGACAATTTGAGACAAGACAATTGGGAATGGGTATTAGTTTTCAAATTGTTGGGTAAAGTAGGCGTCCAGACAATTATAAAGACGATACATTTTTCACCAACCGCCGTTAGCGTCGTTTGGCGTGAATTTCATATTATATACTAAAATATCCAAACACAAACCACTTTATGATAATTCCGCGATTTTTTTCTTGCCTTTTTTTCTAAAATTAACCAAGGCGTGGCCGAATTGTTCAATTTACTGTTCGATTCACTGTATTTGAAAAATCAAAGACAGTGACGAAGACGATGAGAGGAGTATGAATATATTAGTGTGAATGTATTACTATTGTCTTGGCAAAATTGTCTCATGTAAACGCCGTGTAAAGTAACTTTCAAAAGCAGTTTTTATCTCCGAAAATCAAACTTTCCGACAATACTTTTTGTCTGTTTACACGGTGAATGCAGAAAATTCCACTTTAACCTGCGTTACAAGGCATTTTTATTCTTATAACAAAATTACGGACCTGAATAATTTCAGTTGCAGTTACACCTTGCAATTTTTATTTCCGAAAATGTTTTCTGCAAATATGCACGTGAAAGTGGACTTTTGTTTTCGCATTTTGACAGCGATTTGTGGCGTGTGCCTTGATGTTGTCACACAAAGGTGAGGGATATACAGTTTTACGCCGACTCCGAACAGTGATTGTATTTTTATGAGAAACTGTGTTTACATGGTATATGCCGAAATGGGAAAATTAGGTTTGAAATATGTTTGACAAGCCGCTTGTGTGGTGTATTTCGCTCCTTAATTTCGTTAAAATTTGTTATATTCCACAATGGGAAAACTAAAATAGCGAACGCTCTACTATGTGCTACTTCTAATGTTACCAATATTTCAAAATAATTTATAGGGATAAAATTGTCATGATCGTCAAAAGCATCCACACTCTACGATTGGTTGAAGAGCCTGAAATGATAAAATTCGTAGCCACGGTCACTCAATATCCCGAATGTAATATGTCTTCGAGAAAAAGTTTATCAGAAGTTTTGATTCCCAAAGTTTACAGCGATTTACTAGCGAAAATTGAAAGTGAGCTACAGCAGTTCAAAATGGCTCCTCGACGAGTATGGTCGTGCTGATCTGTCGAGTTTTTATAAAGCAAATTTTAGAATTAAATACACACAAAAATGAAGTTCATAGGCCGATAAATCAATGCGTGTGTAGGGCCTTTAACTGAACATGCATTATCAAGAATTGATACCAAACTCTTAGGTGTATTCACTCCGAAGTTAGTTCCGTTTTTTATTTTCGGGTATATGAGCGTAACTTGCTCTTTCCACATGCAAAAGTTTCTACCTTGGCAATATTTTGTCAATTCTTGGTAAGCAATAATTATCAGAGCTTTTGAATACCACGATTCGAACATGGTTTAATGAGAAAAAGTGGCAGCATTGATTTTCGCGTATACGTTGCTAGCTGCGTTTCTGTGATGGCCGATGGCGATTTCATTTATTATTTTACCAAAGAACGTAGATAACAAGAAGCGACAACTCGTTATAATTCCGGCGAAAGTGCGCAACAGGGGCGTGCCTTCTCTTTTCATCCAATCAAAAAACGCACTAGGGCAAAAGAGAAGGCATACTCTTGTTATCTACGTTCTTTGATATTACCAAACGCAACTAAAACTTTCTGGAGCTAAAAAAAAATGCTAGATAATTTTGAAAAGAGCTAAAAGAGAGCTAGGAGATAAAGCCCAATTTTCGGAGCTAAATAGAAAAATAGAGCTAAATCTAGCTCCAAAAGGCTCGAAATGGCAACACTGGTTGGCACATTTTTGACACTTATAAGAGAGTAACTTACTTAGGGTTTACATTGGACAATGCTGTCAAGCCAATGAAGATATACGTATTAGTTGTCAAAATTGTTCAGCGGAAAGGTATGCATGATTATTGGAAAAGTCGGCATGTATTGCTATTTTCATGACAGTATTGTCCGGTGTAGACCCTACGTTATTTCACGTAATTACTGGAGAAGTCCGAAAAGCGTGGGGAACGAAACTCTTGTGAATAATCTTCTTGCTTTAAACCAGTACGGATAAATGTGACATTCAATACATCAGATCTCACCACAGCAAAATACAGCCCATTTCCTTAAATGACAATTCAAATCATCTGTGTGTAGGAACGTTTTCCGATTTATTTTACTTTTCGCACTATGTTTCAATAAAAATTGCTTTTTGTAAAGATTTATAGAGACACTCAAATACCAAAGATAACTATTGACATCGGGCTCACAAAAGATAGTTACCGAAAAAAATATGAACGTTCGCGTATTAAGCCGATTGCGGCAACGCTGGAGGTAAGCAACGTATAGATTTCTAAGTAATAACCTCAAATGAATTTTTTCTAGTGTTTTAAGACGTTATGCGACAAAACCATCTTCCGTGCCCGGAGAGGAAGCTGGAGTTGGAAGTGGAACAGGGATTGGTAATATAACTGGTAGAGCTCGAGGAAACGCTAGTTCTCTCACAGTGAACCAGCCTTCCACAAAAATTGTCACACATTTACCGCCCTTAACTGACGCAATCCCTAATCTGCCTGAAGTCGAGTATGCAAGACCCTTAGCCGAAAGCAGCCTAACACAAGTTACTACTCTTGCTAACGGACTTCGTGTTGCGTCTGAGCCAAGATTTGGCCAATTCTGTACAGTCGGCCTTGTGATTGACTCCGGCCCGCGGTATGAGGTTACATATCCCAGTGGCGTTTCGCATTTTCTCGAGAAGTTGGCGTTTAATGTATGTAGTTCACAGATTTAAATGAAAATTGTTATCTACAAATTAACCGACATCGACAATTATTACAGTCAACTGAGAAATTTCCGAACAAAGATGCCATTCTGAAGGAGCTAGAGAAAAATGGGGGCATTTGCGACTGCCAAAGCTCCCGTGACACACTTATTTATGCAGCAAGCATAGATAGCAGAGCAATTGAATCGGTAACGCGATTACTTGCTGATGTAACTTTGAGACCCACACTTCATGTAGGGGAAGTGAGTGCTGCTCGAAAAGCTGTCCAATTCGAGTTGGAGACTTTAGGAATGCGACCGGAGCAAGAGCCTATATTAATGGATATGATACATGCAGCTGCATATCGAGATAATACTCTAGGCTTACCAAAACTCTGCCCATCTGAAAATCTTCCACACATTGATAGGAATGTACTAATGAACTATTTAAAGTATCATCATACTCCAGAACGTATGGTAATTGCCGGTGTTGGGGTAAGTTAATGTTAGACACCTAATAAAATACTGAAATGTTGGACAATGAAAACACTTAAATATAGGTCAATCATGATGAGCTAGTCCGAAACGTAGAGAAATATTTTGTTGAAGAGAGTGCTATTTGGGAAACACAAATTATTAAAGGAACCGGAGCAACCGAGGTGGATGCTTCAATCGCACAATACACAGGTGGCTTGACAAAGGTATTTTTATAATATACAAGCAAACATTTCAAAAGATTGTTGGAGTTAATTTTTATAGGAAGAATGTGAAATACCAATCTACGCAGCTACTGGCCTGCCAGAACTTGCCCATGTTGTAATTGGACTGGAAGGCTGTTCTCATCAAGATCCTGATTTCGTTGCGTTATGTGTTTTGAACATTATGATGGGAGGGGGCGGTTCCTTCTCTGCTGGCGGTCCTGGCAAGGGCATGTATTCACGTTTGTATACAAACGTACTTAATCGCTATCATTGGATGTATAGTGCCACTGCTTATAATCACGCCTATGCTGACACTGGCCTCTTCTGTATACATGCCAGTGCTCCTCCTAGCAATGTGCGAGATATGGTTGAGGTTGTTACACGCGAACTTGTTAACATGGCATGCGAACCCAGTAAGGATGAGTTGAGTCGATCAAAGATACAGTTACAGTCGATGCTTTTAATGAACCTGGAATCCAGACCAGTTGTATTTGAAGATGTAGGTAGACAAGTTTTAGCGACAGGTCATCGCAAGCGTCCTGAACATTTTATACGCGAAATTGGTAAGGAAAATCGTATTTAAAAAAAAAAAAGTTCTATAATTTAATTAAATTTGTTGCTTTTTTTAGAAAAAATCAAACAGGAGGATATCCAACGAGTATCGAGAAGATTGCTAGCTACACCTCCATCAATGGCAGCCCGAGGTGATATAGGAAAGTTGCCGGAATTGAAAGAAGTCCAAAATGCTCTTAGTAATGGTGGCCGATTGTATTCCCGGAGACTGTCTCTATTTAAGTGAGGGCACCTTCACTCATAATAACATAACATGTACATAAATCTATGCATATATAACGGTGTGGAATATGTGCAAGAATATTACAATAAAACCCAATGGCTGAATCCATATTCGGTTCCATTCTATGAAAATGTTATTGACCTGCCGAATTTTATAGAAAGGCACAACTATACTACTATAAGACGTAAAGTATATTTTTTATAAGAATTGTGGCTGAGTGGTTAGAGGTACGTTCTACCACTGCGTCACAGTCAATGCAAAAAGCTGTGTTTGACAATTATGAAATCGGATATACATACATACATATATTTCCAAAGCTTAAATTAATATAGAAAGTGCCATGATAAAAACATCATGGAAAGTGCTAACAGAGCATTTCCGTAAGTTGCCATATAGGGTATTTTGCATTAGTCATCTCTAAATTTTGTTAAAAACTTATATGAAGGATTTGGTCCATGTGATCCTTTTCGATGTAATGCCTTTTGTTAAAACACTTAATTTTTCTTTAGAGAATAAACTAATACTTTGACCCAACACATCAAAATCGGATACATAGTTTTCCCGAGTGGAGCTTAACTACTTATTTCTCCTGACTCTATATCCGAATTAGACGAGACATCTTCCACCAAATCTTTTAAATCGTGAAGCATTGTATTTTTCACTACTCTAGGGTCTTCTTTTGAGGAGGCAGGCTTAATCGAAGGTAGCTCATGATTTTCAAGATTAGAAATCGAATTTTCTTCAAAGCAATCATCACTACTGACATCCTCACAGTTTCTTCTGTTGGCGTTTTGATTATCTTCCATTTCATGGCACATCACTTTAGATGAACAGGAATTCGAACTCATTTCAATGGAATTTGTTTTTTTAGTGCGTTTTTTCTTTTTTCGCTTTGAGGTGAAGTGTTTCTCCGAAACTTCTTCTTCTGAACTTGAATGGCTTGAGCTGCTATGCCTCAAATGACCTAAAATATAGAAGGATATGGATAGTAATCAATGCAATATACTCCCACGAACAGTTATAACAATCTTGTGCACAAGTCCGCCGGAATGTAAAAATTGGGGAAACATTCTCAACTCAAAAAAAATGTCAATCAATATTACGCAAAACTGTAAGCTTGCCGTTACTTTTAAATAAAAAAAGCTAAGCTAAATTCGTTAATCTACAGTGTACCAAAAAAGTTGTACATTGAAGGTACTCATCTTCAAAGTTGAATATCTCTGCCGTTAGTTAAGTTATTTAGGTAAAAAGATAATTACAACACAGATACTTCGATTTCATGCCAACAATAAAGATTTATCTCAAATAACTACGCTTAGCTCGGAAACTTAAGCAATGTAAAGAAATTCCATTTTGTATTAAAAAGTTAACAAGTTTTTTTTCGTTTCAAAAAATGGAATTTCTTTGTAATGCATAAGTTTCAGGCTAAGTTATTTGAGATTGTTGGCATGAAACCGAAGTATCTGTGTTTTAATTATTTTTAGTTTTACCTACATTCAACCAAAAGTTGAATGCAAAGTTAAACAATGCAAACACACTTTAACGCTAGAGGTATTCAACTTTGAAGATGAGTACCTTCAATGCACAACTTTTTTTGGTTCAGTGTAGCTTTTGTCATAAAAAAAAAAAAAACTTTTACTTAACACATGTCACGATCAATAGCAATTGGATTTAACATACATACCCGCGATAGTCACAATACCACCATCGTTGATGTCATCTTCTGGTAGTTCATCACTGGAAATGTCTTCACGTATCCGATATTGTTTGGGAAGGTGTGATTCATCCTCCATTGAGTTCGTAGTTTTTGGTTTTGTTTGCTCAGGCATTATCTCTTCGAATTCTGTCTTCAGCTCGGCACCTTTTTGCTTTTTGATACTTTTAGCAATAACACGTTTTTGGTGGTCCAATTGAGGGAACAAATCACGAGAATTCTCCAATGCTTGTTTAGCTGCATTCATTTCAGCCTGCTGAATAGATGAACCCGTCGCAGTGGCCAAGCGTTTGGACCGAAAATAAACTGCAACTGTATACACTCTCGTGTTAGTTGGTCCAATAGATTCGATTACTTTATAAATAGGAATATCAGGCTCGCCACCTTCCATCGTACGTAAAGTGAGACAGCACTGTTGTAGCTTTGATTTTGGATCATTCCAATCCTGGTTCATAATAAATATTTGCAATCGTGGAAACAGACAAACATGACAAAATTGCTCGCAGTATAGAAGGCCTTTATCAACATACAATGCACCCAAAAACGCTTCCAACAAATCTGCACGATCTTTAGTCTTCAATTCCACCTTTGGGTTTGAGTAAACCGCATACTTAGTCATGCCAAGGTCATCGCACACTACTGCTTGAGTACGGTTGTTCACAAGAGATGAACGCAACAGAGACAAGTGACCTTCGTGATGTTCAGGAAAATGACGATAAAGATATTCCGAACAAATTAATTGTAGCACTGTATCTCCAAGAAATTCCAAACGTTGATTAGAACCTAGCGTGAGATGAGTAAATCCAATAGAGCGATCAGTGAAAGCACGGGCCAAGAGACGAATGTGCTTGAATTGAATGCCAATGGATTCCTCGAACTTGGTTAGTTCTTGCAGCACTGGATAAGAAGCAATGCAACCACGATCACCTATTTATTGATAAAAAAATTAGATGAAATATACAGATGCCTTATTGAGTATGATGCAAACCATGTTTTTTTAAACATCGACAATATCGGTCATAAATTTGATGTTTCCGATCAATTTCGCTACTTAATTAAATAAATAGAGATTTTATATTAAACAATATTTTAAGCTGGATATACACTTCAACTAAAATGGCACTGTGTGCAACGGTAGGCTAGTGAAACTATAACTTTTTTTCAAAATTGTGTAAACAAATTTTCGCACACTGATGAAAATGCATCAAAAAACAATGCAGCGGGGTAATATATGTAAAGGTTTTGTTTAAATTTAACTAGACCTTAATAAATTGTCAAACATCAGATATCAGCGATAAATCGATGCTTTTTACTAAGTTCATTTTTCCGATATGTCAAACAATAAGCCCGAAAACCCCTTTTCAATTTTACTTTTACCGTGCATACCTAAGGGCTCCTGCTCCTGTAGGGGATGCTCTGGATAGTTTTTCCAAATTTCTCTTAATTGTTCATCTTCCATGTATAAGGCGTTCATAAAAACTTCATCTGCTACTGATATACCACCATCAAGCAGTAATGCTCCCATTAAAGCTTCGAAGCAATTAGCCATGGCATGGCGTAATTCCAACTCATGACATAAATCAGAACCATGTGCGTAAAGCATATACTCCTCCAAGTGTAACTTCTTAGCAAGCAATGCCAAATGCTGATTCTGTACGATAGCAGCACGATATGTGGCCAATCCACCTTCTTCCAAATCGGGAAACATGAAAAACAAATGGATCGAACTTAAGAACTCAACCACAGCATCTCCTAGAAACTCCAAGCGTTCATTATGAGTTATATTTGACATCGTTTCGTATTCCTTTCCAAATCTGGACATTATATTTATAAGGGTATTTATACCACGCTTTCTAGTATTCAAATAGTGTATTTTGCGATCTCCATACTCGGGTTGTCGAATTCCGCAATTTGTAAGTGAATTCCTAGCATGATCAGGATTTGTACCATAATTTTCTTTGTACGAGGGATGCGTCAACGCCAACTGCAATAAATATCTGAAAAAAAGGGATCCCCACAATTATAAATGCATCAAAGCGAGATTAATGATAAATACTCACCGGTTTTTAAAATTATAACCAATATTTTGTTCTAAGAGATCAAGCGATCTATGGAATCGCAAGTGACCAGTAAGTACCGGAATGAGCATTGCATGCTGCACAATATCACACATTATTCCGGTTCTATAATAGCCCTTTGAGCTAACAGCTACAGTTATGTTGCGTTTCATTCGTCCCTGTGTACGCATTTCCTGTAAACGCGCCTCCTTTTCTTCTAGCTTACGCTTGTCGATAAATGATGGCTTGGACATATTAGCCATCAGATGCCGATACTTAACATATTCACGCCATGCTTTTTGGTATTCTGGGTTGCCAGCGTAGCTCAATTGTGGTGGGCGTATGCCAAAATGAACGATTGCTGGATGTGAAACGTTTTCTTCGGCGTCGATACATTCAGGCAAGTCTGAAACATTTCGGTCCAATTGATCAACCCGAACGGAGCACGGCTTGTATCCAGGCTTCGTTACAAGCATTCCTTTTATGAAGTCTACATAATCCTGCCAATCATGCTGATTGATGTCATTTATACAATGCAATTGCTCACGATCGACCAGTGGTGCTGCGCTGTCAAGTAAATATCGAAGTACTTCACTCATAGCTAATACTTCCTTTCCGTTATCGGGTAAGTCCCTTACGAAACGCGGTAAGAAATGAAAGGCTGGGCATGTTTCTGAGCCTGTCATACCGTTGGGATACATTGAGAAATCCACTAGCTCTAGAAGTTCGTGGAATAGATACTTATCTATAAAAAGAAAAATGTTCAGAAATATTGTTAACAGGAATATGCTAAATTACTGGAAATCGGTATCCCTTAAAAGCAAATACGTTCTTCAAAAGTGCGTTAACTCAATATTACCCATTTTTGAAAATATGCGCAGAAAATCTTCAACGAACGTTTATTTACCTTCCAGCAAAAAGGCAGCAAGATTTCGTTGTCATTTGTTGCAAAATCCCATATGATTAACATGTCGCACACAGTCTTCAAAAGAGGTACAACTCAAAATTTGGCATTTTTAAAATTATGCGCTAAAATTTTACACAGAGCTTTTATTTACCGTGCAGCAAAAGCAGGAGCAAATTTTTGTTATAATTTGTTAGAAAAAACCTTGCCCATATGATTATCATGTGCCAAGAAACAGTTTTTCGCATTTTCTGACGAAAACGTGTAATTGTGAGTTGTGCCCCTTTTGAAGACAGTATGCGCCGTGTTTGTGTTTTCTGCCAATCGGAGAATTTTTGAGTTAATACACTTTCGTAGAACCTGTGCGTTACGCACATACATACATCCATGTACACCTATCGCTCATTTACTTCAATAGTGCCATAACTCAAAAAAGCAAAACTCGAGGAAACACGAATTTAGAGTTTTGAATTTCCATATTGCCACCTGAGCGAAAGAACGACCTACATATATCTCTAAAATTCTGAAATAGGGTGTTCTTCAATCAAATTCTGAAGTAGGGCGATTTTAAAAAGTTTTCTGAGATAGGCCGATCTTCCATTCAGGTGTCGATATACTCCCAGTAAAAATTAATAAACATTTTGTTCTAGTGAGATACTGGTAAGCGATACAGTTATTTAACTCAACTTTTGTATTTTTTTGGAATATGACACTACTGAAGTAAATGCACTGATAGTACTTACCGAACAACTCCAATTCTCGTATGGTAAAGTTTTCCGGCATCTTTTCCGCAACATATAATATAGTATACTCAATATTGAAACGTATAACTTTGCATGTGGGTAAATCGGCAAGAGGAGAATGGGTGAGCATTGAAAATCCTTCAAATAAGAACTCGTGCTCATCGTGCTTAATTATCGTTGGCGTTTTGGTGAGAAAATTAGTGGGAGGAGATATAGTAATTCGATAGTGATGAAGTCGCGGTGCATTATTTGAATTCATTACACATTTTGGATACCCTGTTTCACCAGGATAAATACCGTGTCTTATACCAATACGTCGAGATTTCGCCGAACAGCGACAGAGTGGACCATCGTTCATTTCCCCAGAATCATTATGCCACAAATCCGCATGCACTCGATATGGGTGCTGTATTTTTCGGGACAGTTCTTCCATACAACAGTCTTGTTCAATCTTTAATTCATCATCCGATGAATCTTCGGATGACGAAGAGCAAGCTTCAGATTTGTGTTTGCACAATCTACGCCGGGACTTTCGTGTTGGTGGCTCATACGGAGGTAAGGTTTTTCGTACGCGTTCAGCCCGCTGAATTAATTTTTCTTCGAACAATTTGCAAAGTGCTTCTAATCTGCTGGTCGATACAACTTCATTTGAAGCATTTGTGCGCCGGTAAAAAGGATCAGCAGGTGACGATCGTACCCATACATTGCGCGTATCTTCATCCTGTTCACCCAATTCTGCAAGTTTTTCAGCAATATCCTCAGATGTTTCACAGTAGTTTGACCTCCAATTTTTCAACAATCTATCCCTTTCAGTTTCAAGTCGCTTACCCTTGCTATCATTTCGGGAATCATAATGCTTTTCCCGCGGATTGTAGGAACCAATGTAGTCTGGATGTTTCGCATAGCCATAGCTTCTATAATTTATAACTATGTGTAACAAAGATACATGAATTCACACATATACACATCTTACCTTGGGGACGAAATTGGCAAAATATGAGGACGATGAATATAGGTTGAGCTAGACGTATTGCGAAAACTGCTCCTTGTTGCACTATGAACATGGTTTATATTTGTTTTGCCATGCTCATATGGAAAAGATCTTACGCCCTCGGCACACTTATAGAGCCCTCTCCCACTCCTATATTTATTATGAAAATTGTCGTCATATTTAGACTTATGATAATTGTATTCGTTATATGTGGGTTCATATGGAATGTATTCAGTTCTTCTCTGGGTAGATGATGAAATCCTGTACCCATGCTCATTGTAATATCCCTCAACGTAGGTGCTTGATTCCCGATAGTGGGGATAAAGCGGGGTAACACCATCCAAAAGTGGAGTTTGATAATATGCCGAGGGGAAAGGGTGCAAATTGCTGGCTCCAGGAACCTGAGGTATTGATGTGAAACTTTGATTAGTGGTATCCCCAGCACTGGTATTATATAAATGAAGGGGTTCCGAAGACGGTGCTGGAGGAGGCGGAGGTGGGGGAAGCGGTGGCAGGCCCGGAGGAAGCGGAGGCTGTGGTTCGGTTGCAACACTGTCCATTGGTAGTGGTGGTGCTACTGATAAATGTAGATAATTCATTTCGTCGTAGGCTTTTCTATTGTTTATATGCTTTTGCATGCAGACCTAGAACCAAAAAAAAAATCCACTATCGACGTGAAAGCGTGAAAGGAACGGTCCGAAACTATCGTTGGCATTCAACATAGAGCTGCAAATATATCGATGTCAGTATGGATATATCGAGTAATTGGTTTTTTTTTTGCCGACATCGATATTTTGTTGCCATTTGACTTTTACTTACTTAAGCTGAAATTAGTCAAGAACGCAGAACGTATACTTAAACGCAGTCTGTATACGCAGAATTTTGTCGATTACTGGAGCCCTCAGTATTATTACTATAGTGTTGCCACTCCTCAATGCCTTTTCATAAACTTACCTTTTCAACTACAGTTTTTGGTACTATAATAAATCGTAGCTATATATAAACTACTTAGCTTTCAACGAAAAACCTTATTCAATAGTAAATTTCAAATGTTTTAAACGTATTTTGAATAGGAAATTATAACTTTTTTACCATTTGCAAAACTGACGAAGTGGCAACCATCTATAGAAGGAAGAAATCAGCTGACACGGAAAAATCTAAATTCCGCAGATTTCTGCGCTACGGGCTACAACTACAGAAAATTTCTGCGGTGTTGAGTTTTTATTTAAATGGCGATCTGGTAAGACAGATCGTGTCAGCTGACTCGGGTTTACGTACCGGTAGGTTTACGTTCTTGACTAATTTCAGCTTTAAGGCTCCGTTATACATACTTGGCATTGCTTGAGAGTTATCACATAAGGAATCTGTTAAATGAGCTTAACATAGTCTATTGGTTTTTGATTTCTACGTAAAAATAGTGTAGCAAGATAATTACCTTAATTGCGGCCCTGAAAACGGCCATTTGTTGATTGGTATATATGCATTCATCTAAACATAAAATTTTAATCTTCTTGTTAATTAATTGGAGGCCCTAAAAAGGGCCTTTGGCTAATGCCTGGGTTATAATGGAAGCAACGGAATGGAGTGAACTGTCACTTAATTATCTATTAGTTGCGTTCCAGCAGCAGTACGAATACTAGGATTTTACAGGATCTTACAGGAAGCTGTTCCCGCACGACACCTTACATAAGGGTTATTAATGGCTAAAACAGCTGTTCCTGTAAATCCTGCAAAATCCTGTAAAACCTGCTATTCGTACTGCTGCTGGAACACAACTACTGTATGGGAAATGAATGCAAATGGTTATAATGCACGTAAACGCAACTTAAAACGGAACAATCTAAAATCAATAGATCCTTACGAATTCGCCGCGATTTGCTACGATTCGCCCGGTCCATTATAACTAATACCATGTTCTGACCGACATCGAAAACATGTTTTCGTTGCTAAAACCAGTTTTCGACCTAAAAAAAAGTGTTTTCGTCTATGTAAAATCTGTCAAACGAAAACCAGTTTTCGCTGAAAACTACTTGAAAACTCACGTTCCACTCGTTTCAATCAGTGTCTTCTCTAGTTTTTCGATTACTTATCGAAGTGGAAGTCATATTTTATCATCTTTAATACGCTATTTCGTATTTATTGTTAATTGGCTGGCCAAAGTAAAATAAGAATGAAAGCAAGAGGTTGCAAATGAAAAGAAAATGTGGGGAAAGCATTTTGGTTTTGTTTTTGTGTAGCAAAACTGCAATGAGAGGATGTAAGAAATGTCAACGAAAACACTAACATACGGTGTGAACAGCCTTCAGCCCACAATTCCAAAACTCGTTTGCAAAGTTCTTTCGGTCAGAACATGGTATGGCTGCCTCTAAATTTGCATATGCCTCCAAAATAAACGATGTTGCTCCTCTAAAGAATTCTGCGAAAT